CCAGCCCCTCCTCCCCCAGATCCAGGAACCCACGCCCCCAGCCCCTCCTCCCTCAGACCCAGCAGTCCAGGCCCCCAGTCCCTCCTCCCCCAGATCCAGGAACCCAGGCCCCAACCCTACCTCCCCCAGATCCAGGAGTTCAGACCCCTAGCCACTCAGACCCAGGAGTCTAGGTGCCCAACCTATACTCACTCAGGACTCAAGTTTCCCATACTTACTGGTAGATATCTTATTGATCCGGCTGAAGAAGAGGGCCCCTGGTCTCAGGGAGCTGGCACCCTCGTCCTCCTCCTTCACGCGGAACTGGCCGAGCTTGGTCACCTTCTAAGGTCCCACAAGGTCAGTGCAGTGGGTGGGCTGTTGGAGGGTGGGGGTGAAGAAGCAGGGAGAAGGCTCCTTGGGGGGGGTGGGCAGAGCTTACCTGGGGTGAGGCCTCTGCCTCATCTTTGTTTGGGGGGCTGTGAAACCGTACAAAACTCAGGCCATAGGGCGAGTCCTGGGAAAGGAGGGGCGGGGGTCAGGGAGTCTGGCCAAGGACCAAGGCCGGGCCCCAAGCCCCTTTCACTTAGGGAAACTGCTCTCTGGCTCTTTTCCTCGTCTAGGGAGGCGCCCAGATGATAATGTTGACCATGGAACATCAAGCTGTATGGCGCTGTAACTCTGGGTCACCACAGCTCTAAGCCTTCTACACGCATTACACGCATTAGCTTTCCCCCTCTGCCAGCTGAATATAGAGCCATAAGATGGGAGGAGCGTGGGTCCCTGGGTGACCAGCCAAACACCTCCCCAGGAGAGTTCCATGGGTAAGGATACCTATACTGTGTGGTGTCATTACCACTTGGGTCTCATTACCACAGCTTAGCATCCTAGCTCACAGAAACCCTGTAAGGATCAGAAAACAGGCCGGAAAGGTGAAGTCACTTGCCCAAGGTCGTACAGCTAAGAAGTGGTGTAGCCAGGTTTTGAACCCAGCATCTGACCCCACTCTCTTAACTCCTAGGCCGACCCCCCTAACACGTCAGCTGCCCCTCCTCCGATTACCCTCTAAGGTCCTGAAGTTCACCTGTCCTGGACTCCCTCCAGGAAGCAAAGCCTCACATAAGGGGAGGCTCTCAAACCCATTTCAGGAAATGCAGGAACCTGGCCTCCTCATAGTCCCAGCTGTCCAGTCCTCCCAGCCCTCTGCGACTCAATATGGGCCCCTCAGCGCTCTCCTCAGCCAGGACCCTGCATCCCCAGCTCCCACCTTAGGTACCTTGCTGTAGGGCTGGCTGCAAACAATTTTGACGCGGTCCCAGCGCTTCTCGGCTGCTCCCCGGACCAACTTCTCAGGCCCGAAAATGCGAACGCGGTTGGGGTTGGAGCCACTGCGGCTCTCAGAAGGGGACATGAAAGACGAGGTGACCAGAAGGACCTGAGAGAACGTACAGCAAATGAGAAGCAGGGCGGGCTGGTTTAAACGACGCATCCTAGGGGCTGGGAAGAGGGAAGGTGGCCGAGTAGAAGTTAGCGAGTAACGAGGTCCAGCTCACGCCGCAGCCTGCCTCGAGGCCTCTAGACTCTTATTTCTGGGCCTCTGGTGAGTCCTTCCCTGTCAAGCCCCAGAGGGATCCTTCTACACTCAGATCTGAATGATCCTCCTCTAAATTCTTCCACATCTGGCCATACAGACGGCTACACGGCCTAAGGAACCCTCCCGCAAGGAAGATTCACGATATTCAAACACCTTTTGGAAATGCACGGCTGATTCCGAGGCAAAGCAAGGGGAATTATAAGAGGCCAGAAATGAGAGAGCAGAATTCAAGGAGATGGGGGGCTATGCCAATTATTAAGTGATTCTCTCAGCTCAAACCCACTCTTCCACGCTCAGCTCTGGGGTGCTGGGCCAGGCTGGACCTTTCTGTTTTTCCAGCTGCTCCTCACAGGCTGCCAACAGGGGGAGCTAGAGAGAGGTTGCAAAGCTGGAAGAGGGAGGCGGGAATGGGCTTTTTGCAGATCTGGTGAGCATTACCCCAGATCCGCCTCTGCCTCTGCTTCTGCAGTGGCTCCTTCTCTGTGGCAACCAATCAATCCAGTTTGCAGCTTCCTAACCCTTGCAGAACCGGCCTCGTCCAGTCTCTCTTGGGGACAATTGTGTCAGCTGATGAGCGTCCCCTCCTCAGGGTCTGATTTTCAGCTCTATGGAACCCCATCTTCAAGCTTCTAAACATCTGCGTTTCAATAATTTCAACCTTTTCCTTTTGTTCCCCAACCTCGGGGGCAGCAGCTGCTTCCGGCACTCACTTCATCATAACTTAGTCTTCTTGCCTCTTCAGTTCAATACCTAGTTACTAATTCTGTTAAATTCTCTGGTGTAGTTTCAGTCTTCTGGCAAGACCCTGACTGATACAGCAGGTGGCACTGATGTGGTGTGTGCCCTGGGTGGCACAGAGCTTGATTTTAAAGTCCTAAGGGATGGTGACAGGGGGGCACAGAAGACCAAGCCAGGGCTCCAAGCAAGAACAAGTACCTCAGAGACCATCACCAGATCACATAGAGCTGGCCCACTCCTCTGTGGGGAAATTAAGGGAAAACGTGACTTGGGGAGAGAGTCCGTGGGAGGCCTCAGCTCGGAGCACAGCAGAGAGAAGATGAAAAATCCTCTCTGGAGAACTCCAAATCACGAGTTTGTACTCTCAAGGATTTGGAGCAAAAAAAATTCATACTAGCTATCTGCACAGAAAAACCCAAGGTGAACATTTTAAGCGGTCCCATGGATACAGTGTCACCTGACACCAGGGCAAATCCTCTTTGGAGGAATGTACTTCAAACCAAGTCCTCCAAGATTTTCACAGATACATTCTCAAAGCACAGAAGTTAACTATTAGAAACACACACACACACACACACACACACACACACACACACGCACGCACACACACGAGGCATGAGCAAACAAGCTGCATACTCAGACCCACAAAGGCTACATATATTGAAAATATCAAACACACAATATAAAAGTATTTTTAATAGTTTAAAGAAGTAAATGGAGATGCTCAAAATATGATGAACAAACAAATGACAATCAAAATTGACCAGGTAGTTTTGAACAAGAGTGGAAGAGCTGTGCATCCAACACGAAGGGATGAACCGTGATTGGTCTAAGTGATGCAATTCCCTCTGCCAATGGCTGGTCCAAGGACGTGTGCATGACCCAGTTCTGGCCAATGCGATATTATCTGGGGGGCCTCTGGGAAAGATTTGCCTTCCTTATTAAAGAGAAATAGAGGATAAGCATTATTTACAATAGCCAGGACATGGAAGCAACCTAAGTGCCCATCATTAGGCAGTTGGATAAAGAAGATGTGGTACATATATATTGGGTTGTTGGAAAAGTCATGACGTATTTTTTCCTATGTTGGATAGTACTTTAGCCTCAGTAAGAGGTTAACAATAATATCTAATAATAAAATAGAACATTATAACAATATACTGTAATAAAATTTATGTGAATGGCTTTGGGGCCATTATTAAGTAAAATAAACGTTACCTGAACAAAAAGCACTGTGATACCATGACAACTGATAACCAAGATGGCTACTAAGTGACTAATGGACAGGCAGCATATTCAGTGTGAAGATGCTGGACAAAGGGATGACTCATGTTTCATGCAGGACATCTCGAGATTTCATCAAGCTGCTCAGAATGGCTCAAAATTTAAAACTTATAAATTGTTTGCAATTTTCCATTTAATATATTTGGACTGCAGTTGATTGTGGGTAAGTGGAACCTCAAAGTGAAACAAGATAAGTGGTGACTGCTGTACAGATATGTGAACATTTGGGGAATCTGATTGCAGATACGTATGTGGGAATCGTTTGTACTACTTTTGCAACTTTCCTGTAGGTCTGAAAGCTATTGACAAGATGTTTATAATTTATATGGAAAGAAACGCAAAGGATCTAGAGTAGCCAAGAAAATCTTCAGGACAAAAGTTGAAAGTCCAACACAACCTGTTTTCAATATTTACTATTAAGACAGTGTGGTATTGGCATAAAGATAAACATATATATCAATGGAACAGAATGGAGAACAGAAAGAAATTCACACATATATGGTCAATTAATTTTCAACAAAAGAGTCAAAACAATTCAATGGGAAAAGAAAAGTCTTTTTAAAAAAAGAGTACTTTCGGGGCTGGCCAGGTGGCTCAGTTGGTTAGAGCGCAAGCTCTGAGCAACAGGGTTGCCGGTTTGATTCCCACATGGGCCAGTGAGCTGTGCCTGAGTTGAGTGGCCGCTGAGCTTCCAACATGCAGCTGGATGGCTCAGCTGGTGACAGCGCGTGTTCTTAACAACAAGATTGCAGTTCAACTCCTGCATGGGATGGTGGGCTGCTCCCCCTGCAACTTAAGATTGAAAGCGGCAACTGGACTTGGAGCTGAGCTTGCACCCTCCACAACTAAGATTGAAGGACAACAACTTGACTTGGAGCTGACGGGTCCTGGAAAAACACAATGTTCCCCTTCCCAATTCCCCAACAAAATTTTTGGAAAAAAAAAAAAAAGGGGGTATTTTCAACAAACATAAAAAACAAACAGGACGAAATGAAGCTTGTCCCCTATTCACACACTATACAAAACTTCATTTGTAACGAATCAGAGATTTAAGTGTAAAAGCTAAAAATATAAAGTTCTAGAAGAAAACACAGGAGATGGTAGAAAGCAGAATAATGCTCTCCTCCGAAAGATGCTCACATGCTAATCCCTGGAACCTGTGAATATGGCAAAAGGGATTTTGCAGATGCAATGAAATAGGGAGGTTACTCTGATTATCCAGGGGGGTCCACAGTAATTACAAGGGACTTTTTAAGAAAGGGGGAGGCAGAAGAGTCAGAATCAGAGAAGAGATGAGGAAGCAGATGTTAGCGTAATGTGATCACTGGCTTTGAAGAGGGAGGAAGGGGCCACACGCCAAGAAATGCAGGCAGCCTCTGAAAGCTGGAACAGGTAAGGACATGGGTTCTCCCCTGGAGCCCCCAGAAGGAATGCAACGCTGCCAACACCGTGATTTTAGCCAGGGAGAGTGATTTTTGACTTCTGACTTCCAGAACTGTAAGATAATAAATTTGTGTTGGTTGTTTCAAGCCACTGAGTTTCTGGTAATTTGTTACAGCAGTGACAGCAAATACTGGGACTCTCATTACTTTGGGACAAATATCTCTTATAGGACACAAAAAGTACTAAAAAAACAACCTTGATAGATTGGACTTTATCAGCTTCTGCTCATCAAGAGGCACTGTTAAGATAATGAAAAGGCAAGTCACAGACTGGGGAAAATCTGCAACACACATATCTGAAAAAAGAGACTCTGAAAAATATACATGGTTAATGCCCATGACAAAAAGACCAACAACCTAATAAAAAATAAGCAAAAGACTCAAATAGACATTTCATAAAATAAGACAAATGAATGACTAATAAGTACATGAAAGGTTACACGATATCATAACTTGTCGGGGGAAATGCATATTAAAGCGAAAATAAAATACCACAGGGCCAGCTGAGTGGCTCAGTTGGTTAAGAGCTTGCTCAAGAGTGCGAGCTCTGAGCAACAGGGTCGCCAGTTCAATTCCCAGCCCGAGTTGAGCTGCTGCTGAGCTGCCAACAGGTGGCAGGATGGCTCAGCTGAAAAAAATAAAGAAAGAACAAAATAAAATATCACAACACGCCATCTGAATAGCTAAAATTTTTAAAATTAAAAAGGCTGTATCAAGTATAAGTAAGGAGGTGAAGCAACAAGAACTCTCATATACCACTAAAGGGACAATAAAATAGTACCACCACTGTAGAAAACTGTCACTTTCTAATAAGATTAATAAAACATATATCCACCCTAAGACCCTACAATTCCACTCTTAGGTGGAAATCTCCACACAGAAGCTTATATAAGAACGTTGCAACAGCTGCATTCATAATAGTCCAAAAGTGGCAACAGCCCAGACACCCATCAACAAAATAGAAAAACAAATTGCGGTCTGTGCTTACAGTGGAAATTACTGAGCAATGAAGCGGAACGGACCACTGACATCGTCACAAAGAAGAACCTCAAAAAACAGAACATTGAGTGAAAGAAGTCAGCCACAAAAAAAGGACATACTGTAAGATCCCATTTACAGTCAATTGTAAGACAGGCAAAACTAGTCTATAATGACAGAAAGGAAATCAGAGAGTGCCTGCACTGGGGAGAGGAATGACTGCAAAGGGACAGGAGGGGACTTTCAGGGGTGCTGGCAATGCTCTATGTCTTGATTTGGGGGACCGTGACACAAGGTCAAAGACTCTTTGACCTGTACATTAAGATCTGTGCATTTTATTGTATGTAAAATATACCTTAATTAAAAACAATTTGTCACGACAAGCAAAAAAACGTCTCTTGTAGAAAACTGGTTTGTTCACTTAAAACTGTAAACTTTATCACAGTAGGTTTATTTTTACCCAAAGACATTTTGTTGATTAACTAGCTGGCTAACTATGATCTCATCAATGCAGATTTAATTAATTCAACCAGTAAAAAAATGGATTGTGCTGACTTTTTAAATGTTTGTAATACAGCAAAAGGCATTCCTTCTTGTAAACATTTTTTGAAAATAGTGTCTAACAGAGGCATCCCACACAATGCGGAATCTCAATTTGCCGGAACATCTGGGGTAGCTTCTAGTACAGGCAAATATCTCTTAAAAAGTGGTTTTCACAGTGAGTGAATCTTAGAACATGCTCACAGTGGAATACGATTCAGCAATAAAATGGAACCAAACTCTGGTTATTTATGCAACCACAAGGCAAACTCGGTCTTCCCGGCCATGCACAGCTTATCACCTGTCTCCTCTGTACACAGGGCTTCTCCAGAGGGCAGCGGTCGGTGTGACTCATCTCCACCCCACCTGGCACCCAGGAGGCCGGGGAAGAAGTAGTAATGGGGCATCTGGGGCAGGGATCAGCCTGGGGTCCATTGCAAGGTCATGCTTACCTCGTAGTCTTGCTCCCCAGCCCCTCCAGCCGAGCTGCCCACCAGCACCTCCACGAAGGCTGAGCCGTCATTCCCGATGTCCACCTTGTGTATCTGCTCCTCTTTCTCCAACTGCAGGACAGGGAATGCCCGCTGTCAGTGCCTGCTCTGCCCCTGGGCTCACTGCGGGACCTAGGGAGTGGAATGACCCCCATCGGAGCTGCCATGTCTCCGTGCAATGGCAAGTCTGTGACAGCAGGGGCCAGGGCTGAGTGGTGCCACTGTGTCCACTGCACACTGCACAGGGCATGGCACAGAGTCAGAGCTCAAAAAATACTCACTGAATGCCTAAACCCCCACACAGCTTCCCCGACTCCTTCAGACTCTGTTAGATCAGCTTATAACCCGCTGCCATGCAGCTCTCGTTGGTAGCACCTGCCAGAGTTTTCCACCCCCAATCGCACAGGACTCGGAGGAAATTCCCTGAGGGTAGGGGCCTGGTCTGGTTTTGTTCACCACTGCTTCCTGGGTTTGAATCCCAGCTCTGCCACACACTAGCTATATGACCTCTAACCTTTTGGAACCTCAGTTTCTTCATCTGTAAAATCGGGATGATCACTTTATCTAGAATTATACACATAAATATTATGACCACAGGGCTGGTGTGTAATAGGCACTCTACTGCTGTCAGTCAGGAGGCATTATTAGTCGATGCTCAATAATTATTTGTCAATAGAAGGAAAAAGCTACCTGTAGGAAGGCTTCCCCCAAAGGACCTGCTATCCCCTTCTGACAGTTAAGGGAGCAGAAAGCCACGTGAGGATGGAAGGCAGTTAGAAACGGCTGAGGCAAGTCTCCTGCTTGCTAGTTTGGGGGTCCTGTATTTGGATCCAAGAATGACAAGTTATTCCAACCTTCAAGGGTGCCTAGTCCACCTCCTACACTGCCTCCGCCCCCGGAATCATCTGATGCTCCGATTTGCCCTATCACCTCCCAGTCAGGAGGTCCCCCCAACATCGCCTGCACAAGGCTGCACACAGGAGCACCCCTACATGGGAGGAAGGAACCTGGACTTGAGGTGAGGCAAGCCTGGGTTCAAATCCAGTCCTGCCATTTCCAAGTGTGCAATCCTGGGTGACGTACAGCCTCTTTGAACGACAGCTTCATGTGTGAAAGGGGAGAGCCGTCATAATAATCCCTCTTCTAAAGGGAGTTCAGATGACACAGATAATAACAACCTCAACAGAAGCAGCGAACATCTACTTGCTCACGATGTGCCAGACACGGGATGCACGCATCTTCTCTCCTCACAACGGCTCTGCAAGGCAGGGGCTATTAATATCTCCTTCTTACACGTGAGCAAAGGAGGCAGGAAGTGGTTATGTAACTTCTCTAAGGTCACACAGTTGGTGAGCGGCAGAGCTGGGACTGGAGCCCAGGCAGGCTGGCTAGGGTCCACGCATGTTCCTCCGCCACCTCACGGGTGTGCTGGAGAGAAAGGCAGTGCTGAGGGAAGGGCCTTCCCGAGGCTGAGCAAGCTGGCCTCCTGATGACTCTGCCTGTCTCCACCGCTGCTCCCAGCTCTCCACCTATGAGCCCTGCACCGGGAGCTGCCCAGGTACACAAGAAGCCTCAGTGTGACTTCTTGGCTCCCAGCCTACCACATTTGATGGCTTGCCTCCAGCCACTCCAGCCTTCCTTCTATCCTGAGAACAGGCCAGCTCCTTCCCACCTCAGGGCCTTTGCACCTGTCATGCCCCAGCCTCGACCACTTCTCCCCAAACCTTCCCATGGCTGGCTCCTTCCATCTGTCAGGTCTCTGCTCAGATGTCACCTCTTCAAACCAACCAAAGTGGCCTCGCTCACCTCCCACCAGGTGCTACTCTCTATTCCCTAACCCTCTTTATTCTTCTTCGTCATCACCACTTGATATCATATAGTTATTATTTTAATTTGTGTTTGTCTAGCATCTGTGTCCCCGACCAGGCTTTTAAGCTCCATGAATGCAGGGGCAATATCTGAGTCACTCCCTACTGTGTCCCTGACGCCAAGAACAGTGTCTAGTCCTTCCCGGCTCTGCTTACTTACTGCTGTGTGATCCTGGAGCAAACAGTTTCATTTCACCCCTTGAGCCTAAGTGTACTAACCTATAAAATGGGGACAGTAACAACTTCTACTTCATAGAGTTGCTGTGACGATTCAAACAAGGAATACCTACAAAGCTCCTTGAACAGTGCCTGCCACAGAGCAGACACTCCATAAATGTGAGCTGATACTATTGGGTTGTTGAAAAAGTCATGACGTATTTTTTCTATGTTTTTCATTGCAAAAATGCATCATGACTTTTCCGACAACCCAATATTATCACAGAAGGCCTTCAATACGTTCCTGATGGACTGATGAGCAGATGGATCGGAAGCCAAGCCCCCAGTGATCATTTGTCAAAGGAACAAACACCCTGAGTTATAACTCTGAGTCTGCCCTCCCTGAACAAGTGGCTTTGATGAGTCACTTGCTTCAGTGTCCCCATCTGTCACAAAAGGATTATCTAAGTTAAGATTTTCAGATTCTCACTGTGTGCCAGGTGCTTGATATAATAGTTTCCTGCTGCTGCTGTACCAAATTACCACCAATTCCCTAGCTAAAAACAACATACCTCACAGACCTGGAGGTCAGAAGTCTGAAATTTGGTCTCACTGAACTAAAATCAAGGTGTCAGCAGGGCTGCGTTCCTTCTGGAGCTCTAGGGGAGAATCTGTTTCCTTGCTTTGTTTCCAGCTGCCAGAAGCTGCCTGCATTCCTTGGCTCATAGTCTCTCCCTCCGGCTTCAAAGCCAGAGATGGCATCAGCCACCCTCTGCTTCTATCTCCATATCTCCTCCCCTGACCCTGGTTCTCCTGCCTACCTCTTTTCCTTATAAGGACCTTTGTGATTACATTGGGCCCCCCAAATAACCCAAGCTAATCTCACCATCTCAAGATCCTTAATTTCATCCTAACTGTAAAAGTCCCTTTTGCCATGTAAAGTGACATATTCACAGGTTCTGGGGATTGGGACATGGCCAACCCTTAGGCCATTATTCTGCCTACCGAGCTGGAAGAGCTCTTCCTGGGCTGGGCATCCCTGAATCCTCACAACCACCTTAGGGGGATGAAGGATCTGTCACTATCCCAGTTTTATAGATGGGGAAACTGAGGCTCAGGCAGTTTAAATAAATAGCTCATATGTCAGGCAGAGTTAATGACTGGCAGAGAAATTTGGACCCAACTGCCTGACAATAAACCAACAACACTCCTTCTCAACGCCTCTGTTTCAATCGTTGTAAAAATTCAACACCCTTACCTTCCCCACAATAGGAAACACGGCCCTACAACTAGCATGATGTATGTTTTTGTATTTTAAATGAATGATTCTCATCGCATATATAACTACGTCTACTTTAAACACACAATATACCCCCTTGTATTTCTTCTTTTTGATAAATAAAAACATTTCTTATAAAAACATTTATACATGGAAATAACCCAAATGTCCATCAACTTATTAGGAATGGATACACATTGCATGGTATCTCTGTACGATTAAATATTATTTAGCTGTAAAAAGGAATGAAGCACCGACATGCTGCAACATGAAGGAACCTCAGAAACATTGTGCTGAGTGAAAGAAGCCAGCCACAAAGGCCACATAGTTTATGATCCTATTTATATGAGATGTCCAGAATAGGCAAATTCATAGTAGCAAGTAGACCAGTGGTTGTCAGGGGCAACCTGGGGAGGGGGGGAGGGGGAATGACTGTTACTGGTTACGGTGTTTCTCTTTAGTGGGGATGGAAATGTCCTGAATTAGACAGTGTGATGGTTGCAGAACATGTCAGTATACCAAAAACCACTGAACTGCACACTTTAAATGGTTAAAATGTGGAATTTTATGTTATGTGAATTTTATCTCAGCGAAGGAGTGTTCAGTTAAGCGTCAGCTGTTAGGAGAAGGGCTTCTGCACAAGATGGCCCTTCTGTGTCATCTGTGGCCCGGGTTTGTGTGCCCCTTTCTCAGAGAGACACAATTCATGACAGTGAAACGAATGAGACTGGAAGGTTTGCACAGTTCCTGGGAGACATCCTATTAAAAAAATTGTTCCACATCCATGAAAAGCAATGTCATGAAGCATTTTAAAGAGTAAAGTAGAGCTTTATGCAACGACAGTGGATCTCCAAAATATATTAAAAAAAAAAAAAAGCAAGGGGATAACAGTGTATATACTATGTACTTTTAAGAAGGGGTGGAGGAGGTGGATTTCTATATTTATATGTGCACAGAGTGACCCAGGAGGGCCACACAAGAAACTGCTAACAGTGGTTGCCTCAGGAGGGAAAAACTGGGTAGCATGAGTCGGGGGAGGGGGCAGGAGGGAATGGAAGCAGACGGAGAAGGGGACCTTTTCAGTGTATGCCCTTTTGAATTTTGCACCTTATGCATATAATAACCATTCAGAAAGTACAGTTGGAGCTTTGAGCAACAGCGGTTCGAGTCCCAGCCCAAGCTGTGTTGCCAACAGGTGGCAGGATGGCTCAGCTAAAAAAAAAAAAAAAAAGTACAGTTGACAAAACCACAGTAGTTATCTCCAAAAATGGAGTCCTACACAGAAATGCGAATAAACCATCCAACACTACACCCAACATCATGGATGAAACTAACAAACATAATGTGGAGTGAGAGCAGCCAGACACAAAAGTATATACTGTGTGAGTCCATTTATATGAAATCAAAACCAGACAAAACAAATCAATGCTGTTAAAAAATCAGGATCATGGTGGCGTTGGCCGGTTAGCTCAGTTGTTTAGAGTGCACTGCTCATAACCCAAGGTTGCCAGTTCGATTCCCACATGGGCCACTGAGATGTGCCCTCCACAACTAGATTGAAACAACTACTCAACTTGGAGTCGGGGCGGCCGGTTAGCTTAGTTGGTTAGAGTGCAGTGCTCATAACACCAAGGTTACCAAATCGATCCCCACACCCTTTACAACTGGATTGAAACAACTATTGGATTGTCGGAAAAGTCATGACGTATTTTATGTTTTTCGTTGCAAATATGCGTCATGGCTTTTCCGACAACCCAATACTTGACTTGGAGCTGATGGGTCCTGGAAAAACACACTGTTCCCCAATTAAAAAAAAAAAAGATGGGACTGGCCGAGTGGCTCAGTTGTTAAGAGCACGAGCTCTGAGCAACAGGGTCGCTGGTTCGATTCCCACATGGGCCATTGAGTTGCACCCGAGCTGAGCTGCCTCTGAGATGGTGAGAGCACGTGCTCTTAGCAGCAAGGGGAGAAAAAAAAAAAGATAGTGGTTACCTTTGTACGGGGTAGTGACAGGAAGGGTGGGGGGAAATGGGGGGATGGGTATGCCCTGTTACTTGATCTGGGTGCGCAGCACACAGGTTGTGTAGTCTGTGAGGGTTCCCGGAACTGTGTGCTTTGCTGTAAGCATGCTACATACATATCAAAAGAAGGTAAAAAACAACTTAAAATGCCACGATGGCAAAATTAGTGATTAGAAACCCATTGAAAACCAACAAAGAAACCTGTGCCACCTTGCTGTTGAATATTTCTTCTAAAGAATGCACCTCTAGTGGGGCACCAGAATTACACCTGGACTGTGCCCAGCCATCCCCTCTGGCCCAGAAGTTGGCAAAGAGGTAGGACATCCCCTCCTGGGAGCAGGTGATGGGTTGGTAACAGAGCCTCCGGTGGCCTAAGCAAACAAAAAAGGTGTGTGAGGCTGTCACAAGCAGAGGGCTTAACCCAGTGTGATAATATTCAGATGTTCTATAATATAGTTGGGAGGAAAAAAATACAGGTAGTAGGAAAACCCACGGATTAGTCTACAAATCTTGGTGTCCAGAAATTTCTGCCTCATAACTTGCTTGAAAAAGCAGCAAAATTAACATTCGGTGAATTTGGACAAGTCACCCTGCATATTGGCAACTGCCAAATGCAATCCAGCTTTCCACAGGGCGTCTGACATGGGGTAAGTTAACCACTGCAATGATGCTTGCTCCTGCAGTTGCCCTGCAGTTTCCTCTCAACACAGGATTCTGTGAGAACCTACGTCGGATTACGTTTCTTCTTGGCTCAGAGCCCTTCAGTGGCTCCCGTCTCACCCAGGGCAAAAGCTTAAGACCTTACAATGGCTTTCAAGCTTTAAGTGTGTTGGGGCCCTCCACCCCCACCCCATTAGCTCATCTGCTACCTCTCACCCCCTGGCTAACTCCACTCCACCCACACTGGCCTCCTGGCTATTCCTCCAGTACACCAGGCACCAGCCTGCCTAGGAGCCTGTGCTTCTTCCCCAGGTATCTGCATAGCTCACTTTGCTCAAATGTCACCTTCTCAGGGAGGCCTTCCCCGACTCCCAGTTTAAATAGAAACCCCTTGCCACTGCCTTCTCCCCCAGCTGAGGCACTCCCCATTCCTCTTAACGGTTTAATTTTCCTCCACAATACTCATCAGCTGACTTACATTTTAGTTGTGACTTTCCCCTCTACCATGAAAGCGCCACAGGACTGGCATATGTTTGTCTTGTGCTGTCCACTGCTACATGGCCCCGGTATCTATAACAGCTTGGCCTGTAGAAGGTGCTTCATAAATAATTATTCAATGAATGAATGAACAAATGAATCCATCCACTCCTGAGTCTACAGGTCCTGTTCCTGTGCTGACAACTTCCACACCTTTGTCTCCAGTTCCATGTCCAATCTCTAACTGCTTCCTGGATGTCACCCCTTGGATGTCCCAAAGTCACATCAAACCTGGACATGCCAACTGAACCTATCACCTTCTCAAGCTGTCCTTTCTCCGGGTTTCCCATTTCAGTGACAGCGGCAATATCTCCTTCAGTCTCCCAGGGCAGAGGACCCTGTGCCTCATTCTGGCCCCTCTGGTTCCCTCACCCCCATGTCCAGTCTCTTCTGCCTCCAGTCTCTCTGTTCCCACTGCAACTGGGGTACACAATGGGATGTGATTCTCCTGGGGTCACCTGATCATAAGAGAGCCCAGCAGAATCATCACTCAGTAATAAAAACATGAATCCCTCCCTTTACACAAACACCCACATGTTGACAAAGCACTTGTGCAGACATTATGTCACCGAATGGTCACAATAAACCCTGGGCTTGGATTTCATTATTCCCAATGGACAGATAAGAAAACAAGTTCAGAGAAATGAAATAATTTGCCTGAGGTCACAGAGTGAGTGAGAGGGAGAGCTGGGGGCTTTACCAGGTCCCAAGATTAACCGGCAGCAAACTGTTATCTCCCTCAGTTTAAAACACTGGCTCCAGGCCCGGCCGAGTGGCGCGATGGTTAAGAACTGGCTTGGGACGCCAGAGGGCCCCGGTTCGGATCCCACATATGAGGGCCAGTGACACTGCCCTCTACAGCTACGATGCTGAACAACAGCTCAACCTGGAGCTGGGCTGCCTTGAGTTGCCGGCGACAGCATAGGCTGCAGCCCCTGTGGCAGTGGGTTGCCATGGGCTACCGTGTGTAGCCAGCAGCCAGCGTGAGTGGCCAGCAGCCGCAGTGAGCGGCCATCCAGAAGCCGGCGACTGGTCTGCCTCGCCCGGGAAGAGCGCAATGATGGTGCCAACTTGGGCCAGTGAAGCAACGTCCTCCACAACTAGACTGAAGAACAAAATGACAGCAACTTGTCTGTTCCCCCTCCCCCAATTCCCCAGCGCTGTTCCCATCCCCCCAATTCCCCAATAAAAATCTTTAAAAAAAAAAAAAAACACTGGCTCCAGGCAATTTGTATACCATCTCTGGGCCTCTGTTCCCTCATCTGATAATAATAAACTCTAGGTCATGGGGTATTTATTGAGGATTCAGTGAGTTAATCCATGTTGTGGTGTTTTAAACAGTAACTGGCAGTTGTTAACACTGAATATATGTTAGCTGCCATTATTATTACTATGCTAAAATCATTCAAAAAACTCTTATAGGACTGTGTACTTTTACTGGAAAGAGACCCCTCAGATTCTCAAAAGGCTTTATGACCCAGAACTTTTTCAGAAGCACTGGGCAAGAGAGAGATGTTCAGTATCAAACAGAAATCACATAAGCCTTGCCCCCGACATCCCTCCCCAAGCACCTCTGCATTCAGAAGTAAGAAATATGGCCCAAATCAAGAAAGCCAGTGTGAACACGAAGCAGTACGACAGGGGTCAGTAAACTTTTGAGACAGAAGAGCTGCCAGGGGTTAGCAAACTGCGGCACGCGAGCAGCAGGCTCTGAAGTAAAATTGAAAATGAAAATAAAACTATCATAGTTTCACTTATAACATTTTTAAAGGATATTATTCACATAATGATGATTATGTAAAAATATAGTTATGGCTCTCGAGTAATTTTTAAATTGTTGTGAGGGACACGATTGGCTCTTCCAGGGGTTGGCAAACTTTTGAGACAGAACGTACCCAAAGAGCTGCATGTGGCTCACGAGCCGCAGTTTGCCAACCCCAGCAGTACAACAAAGCAGTTAACAGCACCAAAACACTCAGTTGTAGGTTCAAGTCTCAGCACTGCCATTTATTACTGGTGACAACGGCCCCTACATCACACCACTCTTGTGAACAGCAAGATCATGCCGGTAAAACACCCAGGCCGGCACCAGGCAAAGAGCAGGTGCTTAAAACACACTTAGCTCTCTTCTCCCACTAGTTTCTTCTCCCTGACAGGAATAGCCTATTTGGAATTCTGGAACCATCTCAGGATAAAGCACCCTTTCCTGTTGGCCTCCCTCCAACTTCACAGGGGTGTGGTACAGATAAGGTGAGAGCTTACTCAAAAAAAATCTGGCCAGCATTCCAGAAATGATAGCTTAGACTGGCCCCTTCACTTCTCCCCTCCCTCTGCATCAGTTTCCCCATCTTTAAAACGGGGTTTATTGGCTTAGATGACCTCCTGAGACACCTTCCAGCCCTGAGCCCGCTGACTTTAGAAGGCAAGATACATGGGAACGATTCATTTTCTTCCAGCTGAGGAAAGTGCGGCCCAGCAGGAACCTACCTGGCCATACACTGCTTCCTATGGTCATCCCTGGCCTAATCCTTTGATCACCTTTCTCCTCTGCTAAGGGGCACAGCCATCGCGATGCCCATTTGCCTTGTAAGGAAGCTGAGGCCCAAAAGGGAAAGTGCCTCAACTGCCACCTGGCTCCCCAGTCTGAACCCTGGGTCTCCAGACTCCTAGGAAGGAGATGGCGGTAGAACAGGATCACCTGGAGCACCACAGAGATGGTCTTCTCGCCTGCCTTGGCCGCCCGCCATTTTCGGTAAGTGTCCGCCTTGAGAAGGTTTTCTGCACAGTGGGTCTGGAGGTAAGAAAAGGAATGAGAAAGTTAGGGTACAGAGACGAAAGTTGGGTCCCCAGCTCTCAGATTATTCCTTGGAGTCCTCCCAAGCCCTGTGCGACCCCCACATTTAAGTGTCTCCGTTAACCCGCCACACTCTGCCTTGAGTCCCCTACAACACTTTCCCCTGGAAGTTCACCTATGGCCTCTCCAAGGAAGCCCCCCCTATTCCTCCTTTTCTCTTCAGAACTTCCGCAGACACTCAGAAGTCCCCCTATTCCATATCTCTCCCAGAATTCCTTTCTAGCTTCCTGGAAATCCTCCCATGACCCTCCTTAAACTTCCATGAAGTTCCCACTGACACTCCAGAAGTTCTTGTGGAACCCCTTTACGGCTTGTGGAATTCCCTGGGGAATTCTTGTGGAATTCTTTTACGTCTTTCAATCTCGCCCACGCCAGTCCCTCACCGAGTCCTGGCTACTGCAGGAAACCACATGGCGGAGGCGGATCTCCGGCATGTCAACGTAGGGGCCTCCGTCTGACCCGAAGGAGAAGGAGGGTCCGAGTTGGGGGCGGGAAGGGGGTGCTCCCGGCGCGCGTCTAAGTGCGCAAGCGCACAAGGCTCGGGCCTTTCAAACCGCGGCGCGCCGGCGCGCGCGTCAACCCCGCGCAAGCCCAGTCGCTCCTCTCGGGAGAGAGGCACTGAGTTCCCTAGCAACGAGCTTTTCCTCTAGCCCCGCCTCTCTCTGGCCCCACCGCTCGCTAGCCCCTCCTCCTGGTGATGGTAACAGCCTGCTTTTCGGGCGCCTGGCAACAGGAGCGGCCTCCGGGATTGGTCCCTAGAAGAAATTCGCCATTCTCCTTGGACGTCGTAGTCACCGCCCAAACTGAAGCCTAGAAAGCGAGAGGACTTCAAACCCAATTGGATTTTCGCAGAAGCCTGAAACTTACAGCAACAGGATTCCCGCCACCGGTTCCTGCGGCTACACTCTTTCACCGCTAGCTTCCCACCACGCACACGCGCGCGCGCGCACACATACAATCTCAGATCTTTCCCAGGGTTATGCCTGAGGCCAAGAGAGAGTGGGTCAAGCACTTAAGTAAAACACAAAGCATGAGCCCAAACCAGACACACACACCCAGCCTAGAGGGCTTCCACCCATGCCTCAATTTTCCAATGTGATCTGTGGGCATCTGTCTGCTACCACGCCTGTCCCTGCCCGTTGACAGGCACCCCTCTGTTCCGTCCCCCGTGAGACCCAGAGGTGCACCCTCAGGCAGGGTCGGAGCTGGAGACAGCCCAAACACAAAACAGAGTATAAGCCAAGCCCACGAAGAATGAAAGGGAGAGGAGACAAGGCCCCTGGGCCCCCGCAGAACGAGCACAGACATGCTGGGTGCTCCCAGGGAAGAGCTCCACCCACGCAGGGTACATCCTTGGGAAGAAAGAGAAGGGAGAGGAGAATCTCAGCTTTTGTAGCTGCTCTACACCTACAGGGAATCAAGTGACCTGACTCTGACCTCGAGCTTCAGGCCAGAAAAAAAGGAGGGGGAGGGCAATGGGAATGTGAAAAAACAGGAAAAGTGAACTTCTGGGTCCTGATGGAAGCGGGGACTGGAAGCCAGTCTGACGAGGGTCCCCGTGAAGGAGCGGGCTGAGCCCATGTCCCTTTTGGATTCTGGTTCCACTTACTCAACCCCGAGCTGCAGAGGCCTGCCCTGAGATCTTAACTCAGCTATTTCTCACCCCAGGGTGAAGGTGGGTCCAGACCCGCCCCTCCTCAGCTTCCTATAAGGGCTGGGAACCCGGGACTGCTGGGTCACACACCATGAGGCCCTCCACGAGACCTGGGATGTTCCTGCTGGCCTTGATGCTGCTCTGTACCCTGCTTGGTCTGGGTAAGTGGCCAGGGGCCTGGACTCCTGGGACCCTCAAGAAAGAGAGGACTATGAGAAAGCATTCAGCAAGGTCCTCCAAGGGGACAGAGCAGGTGCCCTGGGAATTCAGGTTCATGGGGTTAAAGGAAGAGAAAGCCTCGGGCCCCAAGGGAGGAAAAGCTCAAAGGCTCATGTGATTGGATCTTTGAGAAACCAGGGGGTTTGGTGGGCTCTGAATCTTCTGTCTCAAAAATAAGACATTTGAATTCTAGAAAATCAGATGACAGCATGACTAGAAAGGAAAAGATTTAAATAAAATTAAAAAAAAAAAACTGGGAGAAGGGGAGATTTCCCTTCACCCTGGACTTGAGGGAGTTCAAGCCCCCAGCCCCTCCTCCCTTAGACACAGGAGTTCAGGCCACTCTTTCCCCAGGACCCAGGGGTCTGGCCCCCAGGTGCCTCCTCTCTCAGGACCAAGGAGCCTGTGCACTCAGACCTCCTGGTCCTCACTCTCCTTTTTGACCCCAGCCCCAAGTACCCCTACCAGAGTTCCTACTGTTTACAAGACGTACACATGGTACCTACAAGGAGAAGGGTTCCAGGTCCAAAAAGCTGGACCTGAAGCTTCACAAAAGTCCATGAAAACCTTGACCAGGACCCCTCCCTGTCCATGAGCTTTCTCAGAGGACCCTGGCGTCCAAAATCCCCAGCCTTGTAATTAAGTAAACAGGCTCTGTGGTGGAGTCGCTTCCCGCCCCAAGAAGCAGCTTTGCTGGCATCACGAGCGCGTCCTTGTCAGAGCCCTGCACAGTTCCCCAGACTGCGGTCAGTGCTCCGCCCAAGAACAATCAGGAGGACACCCATCCCACCTTCCTCAGACCCCAAAGTCCGCTCTTTCCCCCGTCCGCATCTCCCTCTGGAAGCCGAAATGGAAGTCGTGGTCCGAAGACCACACCACCCAGGACTACAGCCCCGCCCTCTACACTGCAGGGTGCCCGCTAAGCTGCGAAGTTTGCAGGGGCTCCGGGACCACGTGCAGCGGAAAGATGAAGGCTTGCGAGGCCGGCAAGGACGCCTGCGTCGTCATCGTGGGGGAGTCGAGCACTAGTACGTGCGCTTGGCGTCAGACCCAGGGGACCGGCATGTGTGACGGAAGGGCGGTGGGCGGGCAGAGGAGAGGGAAAGGCTATCTCGAGGTGGATGGAGGGAAGTGAATTCAATGGGGCTATAAAAACCATGTTGTCAGGGATTTCTGAAAATGAGACCTTCCAAAAGATAAGATGGGGAGGGGCAAATATAGGGCCTTTTTTAGGCAAGAGGGGGTGAGGAAAAGACGTGAGGAACAGAATAGTGAGAGAGGAAGAATCTAATAGGCAAGAGGTGGGGGGATAGAGGAGAAGAAAGAAACTCGGGTGGGTTGGGAGGAATGTGACCAGGCAGGACATTTGGGGAAGGAGGAAGGTACAGACTATCCCAGGGATCGTGGGCGGGTAGTGCAGGCTGGAAGAGACCATTCCTCACAGGAGGAGGAGAAGTGATATTGGGGTAGGAGGGAGACATAAAAGGGGCCACACCGGACAGGAGAGGGAAGATAATCCTGAAGTATGGAGGAGAAGTAGAGATGGGGCAGAGGGGAGGCCAGTAAGTACAATGGGAGAGAATGGGATGACTTAAATGAAAGAGACCACCCCAGACCTGGGAAAGGATGGGGGAGATGAAGAGCAATGGAAGGGATTGGGGAGGATTATTCATTGAAAGCTGAAATAGACCATTAGTCACAGGCGGCTAGATGATGGGGCAAGGTGTGGGAATGAAGGCTGTGACAACAGAGAAAGGGCTACCTTGAGTGTAGGAAGGAACCATCCTGACAGAAGGGGGTGTGTAAGTGAGGGGGGATGGAAGACTGCACGCAGTCCCACCCACCAGCGTTGGTGGGTGGGGAAAGGACTTGAAAGTCTTGAAGAGACACACACACCCATTTAGGAGGGAGGGAGATACGGATCCTGGGGTGGTGGGAGAGGGGCTGGGGGAAAAAACACCTTTTGGTGGTGTCAAGAGGGGAAATCCTTGGATTGGGTTAGAAGAGACCACCATACGGTGGGGAGGGGGAAGGCTGTGGAGACTGGAAGAGACCACTTGAGGCAGAGACACTTAAGGAGGTAGCCAAAGAGGGCGGCAACAGGCCATCTGTGGGAGGTCTGGGGCGTGGCCATGGGGAAACCTGGACGAGACCACCTTAGAGAGGGAGATATATGGGTGTTGCAGTGTGATGGGTGGAGGGTCAGGCATTCCAGGGTGTGTTGGAAGTGACTGGGGGTATGGGTGAAAGTCATGAAGGCTGGAAGAAAGCATCTCACGCAGGCATGGGGATAGCCACAGACGGCCTGGGAAAGACTGCTACCTGCAGGAACTTGAAAGGATGGCTATGGAGTGGGGTGGCGTGGAAGAGACCATGTCAGGCAGACACCTGGGTTTGGCGATGGGAACTGCAAGAGACCACCAAAGGCTGACTAGGGGCTATGGCAAAGGGGGGCGTGGGGCATGGAGAACTACCTAATAAACTACTCTGGGCCTTTCCTCAGGCAGATGGGGATATAGCTTGTGTCGTGGGGGGGGGAGGGGAGGCTGGAAGAGACCACCCCAGACAGTCAGGGGGTGAGGGAGCTGTAGGATTGGGAGAGTCAATGCCAGCCCAGCCCTCCCTGCCTTCCCCCCTCCCGCAGAGGGCCGCCACTCAGTGAACACCTACAAGGCCTGCATGAAGTTCAGTGACTGCTACTCGGGCTTTGTATCCACCACCATGGGCCCCAAGGACTACATGGTGTCCAACACTCACTGCTGCCAGAGCGATGGCTGCAACCATGGCTCAGTGCCCCGTAAGTCCCGGCTTAGCCCTACATCGGGAGTCCCGTCCAGCCTGCCCCAAGAACCCACTGTGTGTGCTCTGGCCCACTACGGATCTGCGTGCTGTAACATGGGGCAAGCACCTCGCTTGCTCTGAGCCTCCATTTCCTCAACTGGAGATGCAGTGTCCATTAGCAACCGCTGTTCCCAGGGTTGTGTGTGAGGTTGGGGGAAGGGTCTAAATGTCCCTTTGCACCTTATACTTCACTCTCATCCCCAGCTCCCCCGAACAACCGTACTGAGAATGGCCTCCACTGCCCCGCCTGCATCGTACCCTTCCAGGAGACGTGCCCAGGGACCAAGGCAGCCCACTGTGTTGGCCAGGAAACCCACTGCATCTACTTCGCTGGCAACGTACAGGCTGGTGAGGGGCACCTGGATTTCTGGCGGGGACGACAGGTGCCCCAGAACTGGAAGCCCATGCTTCCAGGTTCTAGGGAAGATGGTGGCCCCAGAGAATGGGGCGAGGAGGTGGCAGAGGCAAAGACTCCTGGGTCATGAGGAAAGAGGGGTTGCAGGGGCCTGACTCCATTCTGAAATCCCCTTCCCAGGTATCATCAACACCAGATTTGCCACTCGGGGCTGTGCCACAGAGAGTGCCTGCTACACCAAGCCTGGGGCCGAGGTGCCCTCAGCCTCCTATCTCTACTTCCTCCGCCGAGCAGACTGCCTTCCAGCCCCCCAGCCCCCTGGCAGAGCTGAGTGAAGAACTGAGGAATGTGTGGCTTGAGGTCTCCATTTGTCCTCAGGCTGCAGCTCCCCATGTGCCTATAAATTAAACAGATTAACCGGAGCAAGCCTGAGTCCTTGTGACGTGATGCATCTTGGGAAGGTGGGTTGCAAAATTCAGGGGGCTCAACCCTTGGAAACCCCCTCTTCGCAAAGAAGAGAGGGAAAAACCCACCTTTTATTAAAGGATAACTCCCTGTTGGGCCCCTGTGCTAAGTGTTTTCTATGCTGTATCTCATTTCATAATCACAAGAACTCTAAGAAGTTGATATTATTATCCCTATTTTACAGATGAACAACTGAGGCACAGACTGTGGTGTCACTTGCTTTGGGTCAAACCAATATGGTGGGTCAGATTCCAAAGTCCATGATCCTCTCTCCTGATTAACCTCTTCCTCTTTTGGCCTCAGTTTTCATGTCTACAAAATGTGGATATTAATAGTTATAACCTCTGGCGGCAGGTTAACTCAGGTGGTTAGAGCGCAGGCTCATGGCACCAAGGTTGCTGGATCAATTCCCACGTGGGCCGGGGAGCTGCGCCCTCCACAACTAGATTGAAGACAACTGCTTGACTTGGAGCTGATGGGTCCTGGAGGGACACATTGTTCTCCAGTAAAATTTCTTTAAAAAAAAAAATAGTTATAACCTCATAGGGTTGTTGTAAGAAATGAAACTTAAAAAGCACTTAGTGCAGTGCCTAACACCTTGAAGACAATGTTGCTTCTAGAGACAATATGAATAAACAGTAATCATTATAATAGCTGCCACTTAGTGAGTGGCCATTAGTTGGCATGTGCTAAACACTAGCATCAATCAGAACAGACTAGATTATGCTATGATAACAAAGTCTCTAATCTCAGTGGTTTCAAACAACAAAGTTTATTAGTCAACTATTGGGTTGTCGGAAAAGTCAAGACGCATTTTTGCAACAAAAAACAAAAAAATACGTCATGACTTTTCCAACAACCCAATAATAGGCAGTAATGCCATGTAACAAACCATCCCCAAACTGAGACATAACAAGCATTCTTCTTTCTAAGGGTTTGTGGGTGACTGGGGTGGCTCTGCTTCTGGCTGTTGGGCTCCAGTTTTGGGAGGAGGATTCAAGTTCTTCTTGGGGTTCCACAATCTTCTGGGATCAGTGGCTCCTGGCAGATCACAGGAGCACAAAAGTGAAGTGCATTTAAGGCCCCTGCTGAGGTCAGGTCTGCTAACATCCCATTGAGTAAAGTAAATCACAAGGTCAAAGCCAAAATCAGTAGAGCAGGGAAGTTGGGAGGGAGAGGAATAGTATTTGCCAAACAAATACCCACTCACAAAAGGTTGATTCTTCTTCCTTCACCCTACATGGCTAGCACTGTCCACAGGTGTCCTGCTCATCATCATAGAGCAGCCACCAACTCAAACATTGCCCACTTCTGTGCATAGGAAAGAGCCCAGGAAAGTCTCACATAGGTGATTAAATGCTGTGATCCAGAAGTGACCTGACACAACTCATTGGATGAAGCTAGTCACATGGCCCCACCAAACCCCACGCGGACCAGGAAGGACAGTCCTGCCCTATGATATGGACATGTTTCATAAACAGCATGAATGGTCACCATGTCCTCCATATGATAGGCACTATTAGTCTCATCCCTGTTTTCAGGATAAGAATCTGAGGCTCAGAAAATGGATGTCATATTGGAGGTCACACAGCTAAAAATGGCAGAGCTTAAGATTGTATTGGGTCATGTTGAGGCAGAAAAGAAACCATATTGCAGAGAGAGGGAACAAGCCTATAGTTCTCTTTTGCTATGGAACAAACCACTCTAAATTTTGTGGCTTAGAACAATCACCTTTTATTTAGCTCGTGATTCTATGGGTTAGCAATTTGGTCTGGGATCAGCTGGGTGGTTCTTCTGCTGGGTTCAGCCTAGGCAGCTGTTTCAGCCGGTTGGCTGGCTGTGGGTTGGGATGTCAAGGCTGATTGGGCCACACCTCTTATCACCCAGCAGATTAGCCAGGGTTTCTTGATGTGGCACTAGTGGCAAGGGTCCGAGAGCAGCAAGAGAAGAAGCCCCAGTGCATCAGCAAGGTCCAAGCCCCTGCTTGCATCATGTTTCCTGTTGTCCCAGTGGCCAAGCAAATCACGTGGCCATGCCCAGAGTCAGGATGAGAAGGGCATGGCTACAGAGAAGCTGAACAAATTGGGGGCATTAGTGGGCCAAGCTGGTTCTAGAGCTAAGATGCTTTACCATCACAAGCCCCAAAGGTCAGAAGTCATTGGTCCACCCCATCCAGAGGCAAAACTGAGATACAATCTCTTGATTCCAGCCCAGAGGGAGTTTTTCCTCTCCCAGGACGCAGGAGTCCCCACGCTCGGCCACCTCCTCCTAACCCGTCTCTTCCTTCCTCAGACCTAGGAGTCTAGGCTTCCAGCTCCAGTTAAAATCCCAAGTATCTTTTTCTTCCCCTTTCAAATCCCAAAAGAACAGACACACAATGGCATTTCTACTCATTTTTTATTCACTCCTCCTAAAAGCACCACAGGCCAACTACACCCCTGATCTGCCCTTCAGGGCTCCCCACACCAGTGGACACATTATCCAGAAATGTAGGAAACTCGGCTAAGGTGATGAGATTGTCTCAACCACTCAAGTTCTTTGTGCCTATTCTGCTTCTGGCAATGGCAATGCCAAGATTCATCATACATTTCCTTGAATTCTTGCCTTTGAGGGTCTTCCAGCCTGGAGGTGTCACAAATACACATCCTGAGGGCGCCAGCAATCCTTCCAAAGGGAGGCTCAGTCTTTTCTTCTTGGATGCTCCCAGAGACAGATGCCTCCCTAGCAACCTTATGCCTCCACAAAACCTAAAATTCAATACCATCGACAGTCATGATTTAAAAGGCAACCACTCCAAAAGTGCTGATATACAACTATATACAGTTAACACAATCAGCATACCCCAACAGAGAGACACACACAAACACAACTGGATCTTTGCTTTCTCAGATATGATCTCTAGCATGATCCCCACTGGCATGAGGGCAGAGGGAATTTGGAGCAGAGATGTCAGACAGGACCAAATCAGAGATGGTGTCAAAGTGGCAGAAAAACAGATGGGCACTCTGTGAGCGAAGGCTTGGAGGTGAGACAGGAGGTGCCCAGACTAGAGTTGTCTTGGCGCTGCTCAGGGCTGAGGGCATGTGGGCAAGGGCATTGACTGCCGCTTGCCAGGCTGCTCGGGAGGTGCTACAGTATGTTAACGTGTGAGAGAATGCATATACTATATATACACACTGAATTCTCACAACAACCCTGTGAGGTAGATTCCATTTGCTAAGTGACTTGCCCAAGGTCACCCCCAAAGTCAGCACGATTGTCTGACCCTAGAGCTATGCTAATAGAATTTCACTGCCCTAAGGCTGTGAGCTTTGAGGACAATGCCTAGAGCCATTCAGTATAAAGTCAAATGCTTTCTCGCATCTTGGCCAGCTCAACTTTGATGGGACAAATTGTGCCAGGTGGGAATTCAAGCTGGAGATGGGGGAGCCATCCCTCAAGTATCTGCCCCTCAGATCAGTTACCCTTGTCTTTGGTTGTCAAAGGAAATAGGATCCCGGAAGTAGTTATGGTTCTCGTCCAACCCTTACATGTCAGATGGGAAAATCGGCAGTGGTCCAAGTCACCCAGAGTGACAGTGGCAAAGCCGAGCTTGCCTCCCAGGTCCTCGGACCTCAGGCGGGCACTTTCTCTCTGATTATATGCTTATTTTTCCCCATCTCATTCCTTTCCCAGTCTTGTGGCCAAGAGGCCAACAATCTACATTCCAGCCTTAGTTCTGCCACTGACTGATGAATTAAAATAATATTTACTAAGCACCTACTGTGTGTCAAGCCCTGTTCTAGGTGCTGGGGGTACAGCAGAAAACAAGACTGACAAGGGGATAATAGCCAACAAACATGTAAATAAATAGATAAATAAGGTAATGTTCTA